GGACCACAGGGATAGATTCTCCAGTTGCCAGCATGCCAGTGCTTGGACGAGCAATGTCAACAGCGGAGGCTACCCTTGCCCCCTCAGGTGTCAGCAGATGGTACAAAGACTGGTGCATGGCAGGATAAAGTCGTGCCCTCTGTCATTCATCTGGCACCAGCTAGATGAATGGATCTCAACCTTTGTAGTCTCAAAGTACAACTCCATAATGTTTCTGACTTTTGAGTATAGCTCAATGATTCTCAAGTGGGGTGCTGTTACCTTAAAAATAAGTTATTGAGGCTGCCATTGATCTGGCAGCACCAGATGTAGGTATTATGCTCATGGTTTGGAGTCACATATGATAAGGAAGTATCCTGGCTTCTTTCCCCATTCTAACAGGCCTTGAAATATACTGGTAAAGGATATAGCATCAAACATCATGTTCATTTGTTTTGTTATATTTTTTAGCAAAAACCACACAGCAGATGATTGGCTGGCTTTAAAATGTCATGAATCAATCATGTCTTTTCAAAAAGAACCAAAAGATACTATTTAGTGTAATAATTTTTACAAAGCTCCTTTGATTGACCACTGCCTTATTCTAACTTTATATCGTTTTTTTCAGTACATGTCCACTGATACAATTTAAGTACTGAAGTGGTAAATTTGGCAACTTCATTTATATATCCATTGCTTTAGAATGAGTATGTCATTACTTGTTCTAAAACTGTGTGTGTGTGTGTGTGTGTGTGTGTGTGTGTGTGTGTGTGTGTAAGCAGATAATAGTCTGAAGAACCTGGCATTTGACTAGACTGCAACAGTTCTCTGCTCTGAAAATTGTTATCCCTTTTTGTGGGGAGCCATACATTGTTTACCCAACAGATATAATAAGCAGAGCTGTGCTGGGGAGAGCGGTGCAGGGGGTGCGGGGGGCACAGAGATCACATTTCTAAATTTTGCTCCGAGCTTTAGGTTTAAAGCAGCAGCATACTTCACAGAAAAATCCCCTCAAATCAGATCCAATGAGTGTCCCTTGGGTTAACAATTCACATCAGAACTATCCCATACTCAGTTTTTCATGGTTTCAATAAAAAATCCAAATCATCCCAATTTCCTAAGAATCAAGCAGAGATTTACTCAAAAGATAAGTAAATCTTTATACAAGCATGGCCTGACTTTTGTTGGATTGAGGGGAGCACTGGGTGCTTTCATTTTTGCTAAGGATATTTTCTGCAGCTATACTGTAGATGGACTTGATCTAGAATGGGATCATTTTGTCCTCTTGAATTTTCTTCTGCTGAAAGAGATGGAAGACTACTTTCCATAGCAGAGAGCATCAAAAACAAAATAATTGCTTGACTTTTCAATTCAGTACCTTGACAAAGTTCGTCTTGTCCCATTATCACAGACAGAAAAATTAAAAATAGATATTAGCAATGATTAAAATCTCATATTGTTTCATGCCAGTCTCACATTGGTAAAGAAAAATAAACCACAATTCATCGAAGATGCATGTTTTTATTGTGAACTGCAGGGAAATGTAAATTCTATTCAGGAAAGATATCTCATGAATGCTTGTGATGTGGCAGAATCCCAGGCTTGCCAAGAATTCTGGTTTTCTTGCTTCTGCTTAGCAAAAAAAAAAATCATTAAATAAAAGCAGTGTGAATATAACCTTTACATGGCATCCATCTTATCAGTCAGTTGGTGGCATCCCATTGGTCAGTGCTTGGAAATATAATTTGAGTTTATTGAGATCTCCAGCTGTTTGGTAATACTATACTGTTCATTGAAGAACAGAAACTGTTTCATTGCCAAGAAAAGAAATATGAAAACTTAGTTTGCTGGGGGGTGGGGGAGAGGGAGAGTGGGTGTGTGTACATGTGTGCAGGTGTATGTATGTATATATATATATATATATATATATATATATAGTTTCTCCTCCTAGTAAGAATGACATTCATAATAACCAAATTTTGAATCTCACAACATTTGAAGGCTATGTTCTAAATATTTGGATGTTTATCTGAACCCCATAAATATGGTATAAGCTTTTGCTTTGAGATTCTAAAAGCCAACCAGAGAATTAGCTAAGCATCTCCTATTAAAATGAATGGGAACCGGGGTAGTGAAATTTCATAGTTCACTTCTCACTCCTTGGGGCTGTAAAATTGGGATGCCATTGTTCTTTACTTCTTATCAGGCCAAAAATATCACAAAGGCAGTCATCTTATGGTATTATGAGACATTAGCTTCAAGGCCCTGATTTCCTACCACAGGATATGAGTAATCAGTGCGAACTGATTTGTATCCTGAAGCAGCAGAAGCAAAGACCTCTTCTCCTTAAGGTTAGTATTAATGAAAAACATTTTGTATACAGCAACATAATTGTGCATGGATAAAACTAGAAAACACAGGCATGTGAAGCGTAAAAAGACCATTTAAAAATGCTTAGCTTATAATTGGTTTGAGTTTGAAGTGAAGATTTGATGCAAATCTTATTTTATATTAAGTGGTCTCCACAGGTCTCTCTTATATTTATAAATAAAATCTACATTAAACAGGAGTACATATTAGGACCTAAAAGGGAAAATTAGTCAAAAGGATATATTACTTTTCCAAAATGAAATATTCCAAAAACTTTGAATATTCAGAATTACAGTACATCTTAAAAGAAAGCCAAATGTTATGTGACAAAAATCCACAGGTAAAACAGCCACACCGTCTTAACTCTGACCTAGACTGACAGTATACAATAAACTAAATCTTTAAACACAATAATATTAGTGCTTAAAATCTTAAATAAAAGGAAACTGATTTGTTGAAATATATTAAGTGATTTTTTGTTGTCTTTTTCCCTTGCAAAACCCAGTGGAATTTAAATGGTTTTTGCAAGATGGTACTTTTGTAAATGGAAGCTGTGGCTGGAGTGAGAGTGGGCAGAGGGGGGAGGGGGAAACAGCCATTTTGAAATAGGGAAACCCTTTCTGCAGAATTTCCAATTTAAAAACAAAGAAATCTTCTTGTGATGAGGAAAAATGAATAAGTTACAAAGGAAAATGACTTTCTATAAGGTTATGCATAAATTGTCATCAGTTGACAAATGCGTCATCAATTTTGCATAATCAATTGCATTCATTTTGATTTAACATGACATATTAGGCTTCAGGTGACCTAACATGCTGTGGATAAGGATGTGCATGTACAAGCACTTTTCTATAATACACTGTAATTGTGTGTCTTAGCATATTCTTACCTGAAGTAAGCAGATGCTAAACTATGATAGCTTAGCCCTTATCCTGAGCCCTTAGCTCAGGAAGTTAGGACCAAAGTGAACATAACATTATATATATACATACATATACATATACATACATATATTGAAAAAAATCTAGTTAATGATGCTCGGGAGCTTTTATTTGCCTTGGTATCTGAAGGCATATGGGAGTATTATTTTAAAAGTTGTGTGTCCCATGTTGTGATCTCTCATTTCTTTAAAGAATTGCTTTACAACTGCAACTTCAAAGTGACACACTGGGAGCGTCCAGATGAGTGTGGATATATGTGGTACGTGGCACCGCAGACCCATCTGTGGCACCACACATCTCCTATACAGGCACTCCCCAAGTTGCTACCTTGCAGCATGGGGTTGGGGTGGGGATTTAACCCCGGGACATCCTGGAGTAAAAAAAATCCCAGACCAAAACCAAGCTGGGCGGCACGTGGTGACAGTGTGTGTTGCCCAAAACCAGAGCCTGGCGGGCCGGAGCTATACTCCAGCTACCAGCCAGGCTTCCTGCTGTGGCTGCAGCTCCCAGAGACCACCAGGACTCCATCCGGGGTAAAGTGCTACCCTCTGTATGTTCTTTGGGGACAAGTAGCAGTAGCACAAGATGTGCTGTTGCTACTTGTCCCTGGGGAAACACACATACCTTCTTGTCTGGACGTGCCCATTGGAGCCAAAGCATTGCAGAATTTGTTGCCATTTTGCCCCTCTTTGTGCAGGAAACAGATGATGTGTCAAGCTAATGAACTGTCCTCCTCCTTGTTAACCTGCCTCTCTCCTCCCCACAAGCTTCCTTTGTTTAATGAGGGGCAAGGAGTTGCTTTGATTAAGGATCCTCACTTGTAAAGACGGCTTTCCACATACTGTTCCCTCACTTGCTCAGAGGCTCAGCATGTATTCAAAGGCCTTTCACTTTTGTGGAGGAAGTGAGCAAATTGACCATTTAACTCAGCCTCTACAGACACAGGTGTTTCTCTAAATATATTAGCTTATTTGAGCTACTTATCTGAAAAGCCCCATGTGGTGCCTATGATATCTGTACCCGTGCTGGGTGGGTGTGTATAGCTGGAGGCAAGCCCAGGCTGCAGCACAGGTAGCTAACATGGCTTCACATGTTTTGGCCTGCTTCTTAATAGTGCTTCTCAATTGCATAATGCTAATTCAATTGACTTAGTGCAACTGAAAAGAAAACCAAACCACCAAAACTACAGTATTTGACAGTATTTGTATGTCAAGTTTTACCCTTTCAAAAAACAAAACAAAACAAAACAAAAAAATCCTATTTTCATTGTGAACCTTATACCTACATAGCATTATTATGGCATGGAATGGAGTGTTTAGCTCAGGAGATTTCAAATGGGATATATCAGTCTTTAACCTGTAGTTCCCTTACATAAGTCAGATAAAATAAGTAGTAACCAGAGCTAATCATCAGCTGCTAGCAATATGATGGCTCACATGAAATGATTTGGTTGTCTCGGTTCGTTTATACATATTCTGTTATAGACAAGGAAAAAATACATCACAATTAGGACTGACTGACAGCTGTGTCAGCAAACTTGGTGAGGACCAAGTACACATGGAAACAATAATACGGTGATAACTCAAACTTGACTGGCAGTGGAGTGAGGCTTCAACTCAATATCATGACATACCATACATCTATTAACAACCAATCCATAATTTTTCCACCAGAAGTAAAATATATTTTTAATAGCAGCAGTGAGGGTAGCAGGAACTCCGAAATCTGAGAGGTCAACTCCAGCTCAGACCAAACTTGGCTGTACTCTTTCAAGTACAGACACTGAAAGGAACTGTGAGAAAGTTTGCTGTACCATACTCCAAAGAGTCTGTGCTGACTTTTCTCCTTTGTTTTACTTTCGAAAAAAATGTTTCTTCAAGGATTTTCCTGAAAGTTTGCATGGGAAGATCATAGCTGTGGTCTTAAGAAAGAGTCTCTCTTATATTCTCTTCTGTAATAATGCAAGGGAAACACAACCCATTATGTAACAATAACCTTGGTTGCTTCATTTTGAACTAAATCAAAGGGGCTATTAATCTGACAAAGCTTTGGCAAATGAAGAAGGATTATAAAAGATAGTCGAATAATCATTTCTAATTAAAAGTAGCACTGCAGGAGCTTGAGAAAGATTATCTTAAAACAAACAAACAAAAGTTGTGGGATCTTGGAAGAGCTTCATTAAGCTGTGCCTAAGACTATCTGGGGGAAAATATATTTATGCTCTCTTCCTTCTGTCTTTTGAGAGTCTAAGATTTAACACACATTTAATACTCTTCTTTCTGTCTTCTGAGATGCTGAAGATTTAACCTCCCACACACCTTGAAATCAGGCTGTGCCCAGAAAATGTCATGAGACACAAGAAAAGAAGGCTGCATGCAACATTTATATACAAACTACAAATTGGTATAGGGCTGCTTTTTATGAATCCCCCCCACCCCGCCACCAGTAATACTTTTTGCTGTTGAAATGTTTTCGTATTAGGGTGAATTTTTTTTGATGTGGAAAAACCTAGCTGGCTCATTCTAAAGAAAGAACAATGAGGGTCCACAAAATACAGGAAGTACTGGAAAAAAATATGCAATGCTCAAAGCTCAGAATGCATCTGCACAATACAAAACTATAGAAGGTGTTTGTTTCAGTTTGGTCGTAATTAAGCAGAAAGCAATTGCACCTTTTAACTACATTAGTTTTGGGTAACTGTGTGTTTGTAATACATGTGAAAGCATGGACAATATCAGGGGACTGAAAGGCATAGGGCACAGAATATACAACAAAGACTTCGCAACTTCAGTTCAGTGGTTCAAGTCCCACCCTAACTAGCAGTAGCTAATTGATTAACAGCTGTTCAGTGCCATATATAGAAGGAGTTTGAGTAGTGTCAGTCCAGTTTCCACTGGATATATCTTCATGTTACAAAATCTGCTGTCACAGTTGACATAGTTGGGACCCGTGATGATGGTCTGAGCATAGAGAACAAGCTTTGAACATGCCAGGGAGACTGAGGATCTCTTTTAGCTTTAAAAGCTAACCATGCAAGGCAAAATAGACTGGCAGGGAATTGTGGGATTGTTGCGGATGTCCCCGTTCTCTGTCCAGGGCTTGCAGTTTGACTCTTTTAGAAAATTCAAATTAAAAAATTAAAATGAGCTGTTCAGAATCTTAAAATCCTTTGTGTACAAATTTTCCTCACTAAATTTCTGGCAGGGTTATAGCCCTAGCAAAAGGCTTCCTCAGAGTGTTGGTGAGGAAAAAAGATCAAGCAAGTGCACAGTGGGTATATCTACATGTGAAATTAATACAATGCAATACACTCTGGTGCAAATCATACCAGAGTTTATTGCTCCTGTGCACCACATTTACACATGTGCCTAGGACCTCAGCATGTTGGGCTGGCTCAGAGCAGCCCCAGCTATGCAGGGGTCAGTGCTTGGTCCAGTGCTATTCAACATCTTCATCAATGATTTGGATGTAGGCGTGAAGAGCTCACTGGCCAAATTCGTGGACAACACCAAGTTATGGGGAAGCGTGGTCACACTTGAAGATAGGCTGTATATACAGGTGGACCTAGAGAGGTTTGCAAGTTAGGTGGACCGGAATCAGATGAAGTTCAACATCGAGAAATGTAAAGTGCTCCACCTGGGGATGAACAATCCCATGCACACCTACAGGCTTGGCAATGCCAACCTGACCAGCACTATGAATAAAAGGGACCTGGGGGTAATAATAGACTACAATCTGAACATAAACCGGCAGTGTTATGCTGTAGCTAGCAGGGCTAATAATACCCTGGTATGCATCAATCGATGCATCACCAGCAAAACCAAAGAAGGGATTCTACTTAGCATTGGTGAGACCACAGATGGAGTAATGCACCAAGTTCTGGGTGCCGCACTTTAACAGAGACATAGTAAAGCTTGAGAGAGTTCAGAGAAGGGCCACCTGTATCAGAGACTTGCGCAGAAAGCCATACAAGGAAAGACTGAGGGATCTGGGAGTCTTCAGCCTAAAAAAAAGGAAGGCTGAGAGGGGACTTGGTAGCAGCTTACCACTACATCAGAGGCGTACATCAAGAGCTCTATGAACAACTGTTCACCAGGGCACCCTTGGAGAAAACTAGGAATTATGGTCACAAACTCCTGGAAGACCATTTCAGGCTCAAAATTAGGAAACACTACTTCAAAGCTGGGGTGTCCAGACAGTGGAATAAAGCTCCCTCCAAAGGTGGTGCAATTGCCTACCCTGGAAATCTTCAAGAGGAGACTAGACGGTCACCTTGCTGGGGTCACCTGACCCCCAGTTGTCTTTCCTGATTGGTGCAAGGGTCTGGACCCGATGATCTTCTCATGTCCCTTCCAGCCTTACAATCTATGAATCTATAGTACTGTGTTTACAAGTACTAACCTATGGCAGAGTTAAATAACTTACTGCTGCCTAATAGGGCTGCGCATGTAGATGCTGAGAATTTACTGCATAGCTAATTAGGTAGTTCTACAGTACATGTCTCACGTAGATGCGGCCAACATCACTGAGTTCAGATTCAATTTGTTATCCTCCAACTAATTGCTTTTTAATGAGCAAAAATGAGAAAACATGAGCCCTATTAAACTGATGTCTCAATATGACATGAGCGAGAATTGTATAGTGATTTGAAAGATTTATAGCAACTGTGAGAGGTTACTACAAACATAAAACACAGAATTTAAATATGCTCTTTTTAATACTGGCTACGGTGTAACTGTTTTTTAATCATTGTTATGTGTTTGTAAGTCTTGTGCCTTGCTTGTCCATAGCGATTCTTGTCTACTTTTGCTCCAGAAACTGGATTTTAATCTCATGAGACCTGTGTGGTTACTATATTAAATAAAGAATTAAAACTTCTTATGCCACATGTAGCTGTTCATGTTGCCAGCTTTCATTTTGACGATTAACATAAGTTGGTTGAATTAAGACCAAAATTAAAACTATAGACAACTTAAACTGTCTCTGCTTGCAGTTTTTTCTATTACCCACAGGTGGCATTCTTCATGCCCTCCTAGTTTACTGAAAAGTCCTAAACTCCAGTCTAGGTTATGGGGAGGGTGGGAGGGAGGGAGGGAGAAGAGAGAGTGAAGAGGGACCATCAACTCTAAAGCACATTGGCAGCTGAATGTAAAATAAAACAAATCCGTCTTCCTGTACAGGATGTTTCCTTAGGAACACACTGTGAATGGTTTTACTCACAGCTACTTCCCAGGCTACAATAAACTAGCCCCAAAACACACACTTGAAAAGAAAGGAAATATATAATGCCGTATATGACGCAAGCATGAGTGTAAATAAGAAAGTATGAGTCATTATTACGTTAAGGCATTGCTACTGCTGTTGTGACTAAAAGATTTACAGAGAAACTCCAAAGTTCTTGAAACTCCTCATGTTTCAGGTTTCATTATGAATTCAAAGCTCAGGACAGGCTGATAATTAAGCTTCTCAACTCTTTCAAGCTGTCCTTGGCAAAACTAAAGAAAATGTTTGCACAATTTCCTACACAGATAAATGAAAGATGTCACCCACCTCTGGTTGTTGCACCTCAGATCCAACAACACTGCAAGGAGCCAGAAAATTTTGGTTAGTGTACACTGTCTTCAAGCTGTACATTTATATTCACAATGGGCAATTTTCCAATTCTTCCTACTTTTCTTAAACAAAAAACACCCTTTATGTGGAAAAAGAAACATTTATAAATAATTTTCATTGCAACTAGTTTCTGCCACACAGCTTAGGCTTAATGCGAGAACAAGGCAATGTTCCCAGTGAACCTGAAGTGCTGTTCTATCTTTTAAAGAGGTATGGTGACCAGAATTGAATAGATGAGGTTATACCATTGATTTACATCCTGACTTTATATTATATTATTGATACATATTGATACTGTGCATAGCAATCAAGTAGACTGAAGCCACATTGCATTGTGTTGTGCAAATATGCAGTAAATGAAAGACCCTACTTCAAAGGAATTTACAATCTAAAAGTGTTATAATATTTGCCAAATGCTATTTTTCCTATGCTATTCCCTTATTTAATACTGTCCTAAGATTTAGCTTGCTTTTTGGCTGTCACTATTCAGTGAGCAGGGGTCTTCATTGAACTCCCTAGATAATTCACCTGAACGTATTGCAATTATTTGACAGCTTAACATTCAATAGCATACTTAGGTATAGGACTGTGGAGCACCAGACCGAGGTGCCAATTTAAAGAGGATATCTCCCCCAGTCCTCCCTGGAAACTGATGCAGAATTGCTAGTTATGCCTCTGCCAGCATTATATACGAGTAGTCATTACTTTTTACAGTGCATTACTTTGTCAGCAATGAACCAACTGTTATGCCACCCATTAACCAAGCTTTGTTAAGGCCCTTCAAAACCCATCAGAGTCTTCTTTCACCTTTGACCTAACTGAATAATTTTGCCTTTTGAAAACTGTTCCATCTCATTGCTAGCCTCACTTTCCACAATAAAGCAAGCCAGAAACAGGTATCCCTCCTCTAGTATATTTATTTCTTAGTAAGAATGGGTGAATATTGTATAATTTAAGTTTTATAAAACTCTGCAAAGTACTTTAGGCCTTGATGTTCTTTTTAAGGATCAAGTATAGAAAAAAATCCTCACGTGTTTTAAATCCACTCTTAGGTCATATTTTTAGAACAGAATATGGTCTATAGTGTAATCCTTACTTTGGTGAGTACTTGAAATTAATGGGGCTAGTTGTGAAATTAAGCCTGCGTTTCACAATTTAAGCTCATTATTTACTCCATTACTAAATATATCAAGGAAATATTCTTTAATAATTGCTGTCTGCTCTTAATTCTGATGGTTTAAAGCATGTTCTGCTTATTCATTGCCGATTCCTACAAGCAAATTACACTGCCTTGGGAAGCAAAGATAACAAATCAGTCTTTCTGCCCAGAACTAACATGTCTGCAAAGCATAATGCATGACTATGGTGCCATCTAAATAATAAATAACCAATGAGTAGCCCACAGCTCTTGCCAGCAGTTTTATCATACAAGAATCAAAACACTGTTGATACTTGATTGTGCCACACCATATGCCCAAAAGGTTGGAAAATATGCAACTTACTGTACGTTGAATCATCCTCTACAGTATGATAACGCAATAAAGTAATGAGAGATTTTTGGTAACTTCTCCCTGCTGCCTACCAAAAAAGGTCACCAGAGCAATAAAATTCAAACAAAATATCTAGGTTAACTTCTTACAGTTAAGGAAGCAAGCAATTTCCACACAGACAAGGAGTCATTTGGTTTAATAGTAGAATAGTTCTAACAATTATGAAAATTTTAATAAAACAGAGTAGCATATAGTTATGCTGCTTGGCTAATAAATAAACATAGCTTTAATATTCTCTAATATAAATACAACAAATGCACATAGACCATCAAAGGTTTGAGAACACTCTAGTAGTAGTGTAGTTATCAACTATGAGTTCTTTTTAAAAGGCATGTGTATCAATCAAAGGTCTGATAAAATCAGAAGTGGTAGGATTCAGGACTATTTCAGCAATTTGATTATTTGGGAATAGTAGACTGCACACTGACTTCTGGTCACTGCTGTTGATAAATGGGGAATGTTTTATTTTTGTTTTAATCTATATTGTGCTGGTATTGCTCAAGAGCCACAAAATAACCTAGCTAATGGCTTTTAATCTAACTAAGCCCTTTATCCTATATCATTTCACTCACATAAACTAATCACATAACTGCAATTTGTGCCTTTGGAAATCTCTCCTTAGTGACTCTCTCTGAATTAAGCAACTTACCAGTGAAAGAGCATACTACCTTTTACATGCTCCATTCACTTTAATGAGAATCCAAAAATTGATGCAGGAAAAAACTGCAAGTGAACATTTAGGACCAGATTTTAAATAGACTTCAGCTCTCACTGAAGAATCTACAGGTATGGGGCAAAGGAACAAATTACAGCCAATGGATCAGGGACTTATTCCAGAGTATCTGACCAGTAGTATACAAGTATACCTGATTGATAACTTATCCTTATTTCACCAAATGACACTTGAGTTCTTAAAAAAAAAAAAATTCTTGCCCCTACTGAAGATTTGAAAGCGCATGAAAAGTGAACATATACACTAACAGGTGAGAATTTGGAAATATTATAAAATATTCTCCCTCCCCCATCTTCCCTGATTCATGCAGGCAAATAGGTTTTGATATATATTCTTCTTTTGGTATTTAGACAATGATCCATACCACTTGACTCAGCAACGTAGCAAGTTGGCAAGCTCTATGTTTGCAAGTACTTGAACATTTTCTAAGCTAACATTTAATAAAGAGAGTCAATATATCATCTACAGGAGTTATGGATTTACATATCTGCCACAGATCTCACGTGCCTTCAGTATCCACGGGTATGTCTGTACCACCCCAGTATGGTGCCAGGGAGCACCATACTAACACATTGCCCTCCCTGTTCCTTACACTTACTACCCAAACTGGAAGCAGAGTAACCACCTCAAGGCTTGCTGAGAAATGGAGCCCACTGACAGCACATGCAGTTCTGCACAAAAGACAGCTAAAAAGGTAGCATGTATGGAGCAGGTGCATCATATTTTATACAGTACTCTCAGGTGACAGAGACATGCAGCGATGCTAAAAGCAAGGTCCAAATCTCATGCTCAAAGGCCTGTTAATCCTGTAAATGTCCAAACTTTTTAAATACCTCTTTTTAAATCTGGTAAATCCCTAAAGTTCCTGCAGTTCTGCTTTCTATGCAGGTCTGGATCTTCCCTGGTTTGAGTAGTTGCATGCCAAGCTCCTACCTAATTCATTGGATCCTGAAGTTAGGAGAAGGAGAACATAAATCTTCTGAAGAGCCCATTCTGGTAGCCTTGGTCAGAGGACATCTAATGCAAACTTGCAGCACTGAGCATGCATACATTTGATGGATGAGATAGTAAAACAGGTTGAGTATGAGTTCTTTTTAAAAGGCATATGAATCAAGCAAAGATCTGATAAAAAATCAGAATTGGTAGGATTCGGATTAAGTATCTCAAGAATCTGATCTGGCTCCATTGCTTTTCAACGTCTACATATACAACATGCTGGATAAAAAATTAAAAAAACCCATCAACACCACCCTGATTTCTGACCTAAAGACTTGGGAGAACTTTCATTATTGTCCCTTCCCCCTCAAATGCGACAATGACAGCCTCCACCTAAGCAACAAAGCTGCAAGAAGGTGAAAAATAAGCCCAACCCCCATACCTTAGTGTGACCTAATTCAACTTTTAAAAGCTACTTAGAAGACATATGCATTAAAGATCAAAGCCACTACCAGCCTCCTTGAAAAGCTAAAAGGGAAATTACAGATTGCCAATGCCACTGCACTTCTAGCAGTAGCACTCAAGCTGGTACATGTGGGTGAAGAGTTCTGCAGCCCCATGAGCGAGAAAGTTCTAACCACCAGGATGGAAGCAAGGTTGGGTGGAGGCACCCTCCAGCTCTACTGTTGAACCTGGGCTGCAACACAGCCAAAAATTTCAGAATCATGGGCCCGGAAGAACAATGTTGTCTCACAGCTAGAAAACTCATCTAGAGAAGGGGAATCCTGGGCTCTAGTCTGTGCTGCAAGGATTTTTTATGCATTTTACACTAAATTCTCAGAATACAAAAGAATCCTGGGAACAAGGACTGAAACTCAGTACTTACCTTCCCAGCTCTTACATTTGATTCTTCCCAGTGGTCCACTTCAAAAACTGGGATTGAAGGTGACTTTCCCAACCTCATCCATAGCTGCTAGCTAAGGCAATTCCTAGTGGGTGATGCAGGCTTGAATCCTTTCAGTCTAAGGAAAGGCTAGAACCCAGGACTGCCACATCTGCAAGTGGACTGAGTACTGAGTTGTTATATGCAAGACAGGGTGGGTGCCAGAAGTCACTTCCTGAGTCATGTTTTTGAAAGAGTGAAGTTTGCTCATGTTTTTTCCAATGAATATATTTCATTGACACATGCTGGTGTCTACCCTAAGGAGAAGCTTTCAGGCTGTATAACCCAAGTGGGTAGGCATGCCTCCCTTGTAGGTCAGAGTCAGGTACCTAAGCACCAGAGATTGGAAGAGGATTTTCAGACACACCCCATGTTAGCATTTTTTTATTGGCTGGTTCTTAGTAGCTCTCAGCTTAGTATGTAGCTTTAATTAGATTGCTCTTCTGGAAGTACCTAAACCCTCCTGATGAAAGACAGCCTATGTGCTGAACTGGATTCTACTCCAGGATTCGATCTTCTAAAAGTTAAGCATTGTGGTACCTAACATGGAGGTGCTTAAGACCTTTGGATTTAACCTAATGTCACTCATGAACTCTTCCAAACTTTCTTTGCCAATCATGTGGTAAAGAGGGAGTA